TTATGTTTTGAAAAATAGGCCAACTAAAAGGAGCACCATTTTATAAATTAAAATTTTGTTTGATGTAGATATATGAACATTATTTTTATAAACGAATTACATAATATGATGTAATTACTCATTTTATTATCTAAATATAATTCCTGTTCTCTAAAATATTAGTTTGTTAGGGGTATAGTGGGAAATGAAGATGGATTGACCATTTCGATGTTTCGAGTTGGGACGCTGGAGCTTGAAGATTTCAAGCTGCCTTTTTCTTGCTGTAAAAATCTGAAAACTGGATTAATATTGGTTGACACAATATTATTACCTTTTTGGTTTAGATAATGACTCTTGCCGTTCTCGTGCGTTTAGCTTAGAATTAAATATCCAATGCCATGAGGCCCAAGAAATAATAAAATAATAATTCAGTACTTTGGGGTATACTGGTCTCTCATTGCAGGACGTGTTTAGGATTAGCAAGACTTGTGTTTTAACCGCAAGTCTTTTTCTCTTTTTCCCAAAAAAGATTTCTCAATGTTAAAATAATAATAATAATAATAATAAAATAATAAAATAAATGAGTTTAGGTATTCAACCAATGGTATATATTATATTTTACCATTTTATAAATTCAGAATTTGTTTGTTGTAGATATATGAACTTGTTTTTTTTATTGACGAATTACATGTAATGTGAAATAGCCATATATTTATTTTATTTCTTATCTTATCCGAGCATCTTTTTTAGATTAATAGGAATATTCTTTTTTTGAACAGGGAGAAAATTTCAAGAAAAAAAAGGTTAAATGTTAATTCTTGTCCCTCGACTTTAAGGTTTTACATAATTTTCATTCTTCAACTTTTTTTGTGTATTTTTTTATCCCTTAACTATGAAAAATGTATTTTTTTAGTCTTTCGTCAGTTAATCCGTTAAATTTATCTAAATCTGCACATTTTTTGTCTCTCAACTTTAAGTTGAGAGACAAAAAAGTGCAAATATTAGAAGTTGAGGAATTAAAAATGTGTAGATTCAAATAGATTTAACAGATTAATTGATGGAAGGACTAAAAAAATATATTTTTCATAATTAATGGACTAAAAAAGTGTAAAAAAAAGTTGAAAGATAAAAATTGTGTAAAACTTTAAGTTGAGAGACCAAAATTAACATTTAACCAAAAAAATATTATAACTACCTAATAAAAGTTTAAATTTCGATATAAATTAAAGTATTTAATGTATATTATTAACCCTACTAGTGCAATTTGAATGTTCTTATTAAAACTGGCTTGTGTGGTAGGTTAATTGGTTAAATAATTTTAGAAGTTAGAGGTCCATAACTATTCCCACCGGTGGCATGTTTTCTCCAAATTTTTTTACTACAATATTTAAAGTTTGTATTTACTTATATTTTACCCAAGAAAAAAAAATAAAGTGTTTGTGATTTAGTTGGTAAAAAATTTTATTTTTAACATTATTGACCAATATATATTTTTTTGAAACGTACATTATTGATGAATATTTAACTTATTTGGATGAGAAGTTAATTTCTCATAAATTTTTTAATTTCAATTTAAATAAATTGTTTTTAATTGGATCAAAAAGGTATTAATATTGAGATTTGTGTAATCTGACAAGACACACCCTTACTACTAAACAAAAAATTAAAAAAGTAATTAAATATTAAACTTTTGTATGATTAATTATTTAAATACTAAAATGAGTGAAAAGGGGTATGAAAATGAGTTATATGTCTTTATATCTATTAAGAAATTCTATTTTATAGTTTAGTTTATATGAAACTATATATAAAACAAGAATTATTAAATGGGAAAAGGTTTCTAATATCAAAAAATTTAATCTCATCTAATAATTAATATAATTTAATCTAATAAAATATAAATTGTATTACACTTATATATATATATATTATATTACTTCTCACTAAATATACCCAAAAAAAAAAAAGAGGATATTTACATTATATATGATTTACTTGAAAATTCAAGTCTCCCCTATCAGTTTTGATCTTTGAAATGATCTACATAATTTCAAGTCGTCGATGGCTGTATCCCATCAAGTTGATCTCCTTCAATATCTTCTTTATGTGATTATTCCAGCTGGGTTTTTCCAAAGACCTTATAAATTAAGTTAGATACAGGACTAATCAATCCCAAACTCAACAGACCAATCTTTCCTGTCTTCGTTTCCTAGGAAGTTCCTTTCCAAATAACAAACGACTGCACTCAAATGTTAGATTAGTGGACACAAATTATTTAGAAATCAAAGATTATAGGTTGGTGAGGTCATGCCACCTAGGAAAAACGTATAAATTAATAATTCGTGTTTTGTTCATTGAATTATTCTTTCCGAGTTTTTTTGTTTTTTTGGAAAATAACAAAATGAGGGATGGTAGTATGGAACACTGGGGGACAAGACAAGGCTAGGGTAGCCGAGAAGCAAATAACTCAATTCCTAATTCTTATCAAATTCAACGAATCAACGAGGAAAGACCACCAGCCGCCATTAGTATATATAAAAAATGGGAGGTAGAAAGTTTTTTTTTTTTATTTTTAAATTAACTTATAGATATATGAAAGTTACTAGAAATTTGATTAATTTAAAATTGTGTTATAATGAATTTTATAAAACAAAAACTCTTATAATATTTATTTTTTTATTTATAAAACTTAAATTTAATATTTTATTAAAAAAAACTAAACCCATTTCACTCAAATCATTAAAGATTTGGTTGGAGCATAGGAGTAAAAAGTTGTGACAGGCTGTTTTCTAATGCAAACAAGAAAAAGAATATAGAAATGTCTTAAACCCGTGTGTCAACAAATATAAACCGTGTCTCAACTAATTTAAACCGTGTCTCAACTACTAGGAGTCTTAGATTTAAGGAATTGAAAGAAACCCGTTACTAGATTTCTTTCCTGAGGTAGACTTCGTAAACAAAATTGAGTAGCTTTTGTCAAAAGAACAAACCAAAACTTGGGATTTGGGTGTTTTTTAACAGATCGAGTTAATTGAGTTGTAAAAGTAGAGCAATTTTATCAACATCAAAAGTTGAAATACTAGCAGCATCTATTATGTTGCAGAAAAAAATATAATATTCTGTGTTACTAGTGAGCTCTCATTGTGTTATGAGATATCTGTTGAGGGCGGTTTTACCCACAACCCTCTTTTGAGATATGAGTTCATTTCTGAAATCTCCCCAGGTGAAGGGCTTGAACTTCCAAGCATTGTGGATTGGATCAACCAGCTGTGGACGAGAGTCTATCATGGCACTACTTGTTGGGCTGAGGAAATATGCTACTGATTGCCTTTGATTCCCTTTGTTCAGCACTGCTCTGCTCTTTAATACCCCATTAGTCCATACCTACAAAACAAATTAGTACTCGTTTACATCCGGAAATCATCCATAAAAACAATCAGAGAATATTACTACAAAGCTAATTCTAATGTTAATCTTCTGTAACTTGGAGGTGAAGGTAAAGGGCTTACCTCTAGAGTGTCGCCTAAGTTGACAATGAATGAATTAGGGACGGGACGGATTCCAACCCATTGATTGTCATCCCCAAGAATCTGGAGACCACCAACATCATCATCTTGTAACAATATTGTCAAGGTATGAGGGTCAGAATGGTTTCCCAGTCCTAGACATTTTTCAGGGAGAGGACATGGAAGGCATCTGCTAGGCCTAAATATTGTAGCTTCTTTCTTTTCAAAATTCTTTGTAAAGAAGGCATCAGGAAGGCCTAAACCATGTGCTAACATCTCAAAAATTCTCATCCCTAGCCGATCTAATTGGTGCATGTACTTAATTATTGCCTCACTGAAACTCCAAGAAAACTAAATTAGTACAAGACAATTAATGTCTTGTAATAAAATGACTACTAGGTCTGCAATGATGTCTGATATGTGTGCATTCTTACCTGAATGGATGATGTTGACCAGGAAACACCCTTTTGGCTAAAGAAACTACATGTTCTGGGGACTGAAGTAGCTGCAAGACTTCTGTCCAAGGCAGATTGTTTTCATATTCAGGGTTTGTGGCAAATTAGCCTAGTGGCAGAGTGGTAGATTTTGCACCCTTCAGCTTCAGCTCCATGGGAAGATCAAAAAGCTTATTCAATTGCATTTTTGCATTCTCTAGTATCTCTATAGCAACCCCATGATCCTCCAGCCTGAAGAACCCCCATTCGGCACCAGCATCCACCATGTCACGACACACCTTTTCATAACAATCCATGTCTTGTGGCTTCACTTCCATGATTCCCTGCAGACTTATGACAGGAATGTCCTCCTCTTTTGCAAAGTCATTGTGATTAATTCCTGGTCGTTCCTCCTCTGACCAAATGAAGTTTTTGACATACAGCTTCTTCCCCATGGAAAAGAGTGACTCAACCTGTTGTTCTTCAATTTCCATCCCCATTGCAAAACCCCAAGAATGTGATATGTTCCTTAGATCAATTACCCTTCCTTTTAGGTCTATATAAAGGCTAAATTTGTTCTTCATGTTGCTTTCAACGTGATGGATCAATTAAGTTGATGGTGACAAATTACATTGAGTTTCTTAATGTCATGGTATAGTTATTAATTCTTTTTCATACCAATCTGGGATGTTGGCCAAAGAGAGAAATCTAATGCTATGAAAGTTACTTGGATTATTTGTAAGAATTTGATTTGAATATGGCCTTTT